GTGTGTGTGTGTGTGTGTGTGTGTGTGTGTGTGTATGTGTGTGTGGTGCTGGGGATTGAACCCAGGGCCTTACACACGCAAGACAAGCACTCTGAGCTATATCCCCAGCCCCACCAAGTGTTTTATTCCACATAGGACTGAAAAGTGACTCCTGTCCCACCCTCAGTAGTAAGCCCCTCACTTTGGGAACTGGGTGCCTGCACCTGGCATCTGGGCCCTTGTCTGGCGCGGGTCTCATTTTGGCCTACGTGCAGCACAGCCATGAGCTCTGTGTGTGTGTCTGTTTCTGGGCCTGTGACATCATTCGTGGCCGAGGACCTGTGTGCTCTGGAGGTGACCTCTGCCTGTGACACCTGGTTCAGGGCAGCTGTGCCCACTGGGGGGTGTGTCTGTCCGAGTGTGCCTACGCCGCCCCAGTATTCACACACTCCAATGACATCCTTGCTGGAGGAGTTCCCGGAGATGGTCTCCAACGCTGAAATTTTTCAGATGGGAAATGAGGCCCCAGGGCCGTGGACAAGGATTTGCTTTGCAATCTTGGGCGAGTACTGTACCTCCATGGACCTCTGTTTCCTCATCTTTAAAATGGGGACGGCGTGGCGTCATGGGTGTGTTTGAGGACTGAAGATCTGTAATGGGCGTGGTTCCCGGGCTGAACTTCATGGTTGCCCTTAAGGCTACTATTACTGTCACCACCCTCCTAGGTCCCCTGCTGACTTGTGGACTGCCTGTCATCCACCTTGTCACCGCCCCCCTTAGCACACATGTGTGTCTGGGTTTCTTTGGGAAGCGTGTGTGTGCACCGCTGCCTGCCGCACATCTGTCCTGGTAGCAAACATGGGCACCTGGTGTGGCGTGGCCCGGGCGGCCCTGTGTGTGGTTAGTGTGTGTGTGAGTCTGCATGTTTGAGTCTTCTGTGAACTTCCATGTCACCTCCTGGGCCGCGAGTGTATGTCCCTGTGTCCCTCTGCACACGTCTGTGCATATCTGTGGACACAGAATGGTGGGTGAGTGAGTGTGACCTGCCCACGTGCCCTCGGTGTGTATGCAAAGAAAGGTGACATCGGAGCAGGGTCAGGGAACGTGGGGGCATGAAGGAGGGACCACGAGCTTGGTCCTAGAGGGTCCGGAGGGGAGCCTGTGGACCTGCCTGCGGGGGGGACTCCTGACTCTCGCCCTCCCCCTGTCACCAGCGCCGGGCTTATTTCCGCCTCTGGAATGCAGCCCTGGGGGGGTTCCTGGCGGTGCCGGACCACGTGGAGGACATGAAGGCCGGCCGAGTGGTCGTCTCCGAGCCCCGAGCTGGCGGCAGCTGCATCTGGTACTACGAGGACGGGCTGCTCAAGAACCAGGTATGGTGTGGGGCTGGGAAGGGACTCCCGGGCCCCGGGCACCCGCAAGCCCGCCTCGGGGAATCGTAGCCCAGTCAGGAACGGGACCCGGGGACCCTGGGGTGGTGGAGGATGCAGTGTCCAAACCGTGGCTGACCCAGATGCATAGAGGGAAGCCCCCAGCTCTGCCGTCCTGTGGAGAACTTGAGTCCTGTGAGTGGTGGTCGGCTCCCTCCACAGTTTCCCGGGCACCTACCCTGTTCTAGGTGCTGGACTGTGGCAGTAGGAAGACAGAGAGACTCATCCTCCTGAAGTTTATCCCTCTTGTCCCTCTGGGGAGGGACAGAAACGATTTAAGTGATCAAAATGTAGGTCAAGGAAGGAGGACAGGGAGTTTCCTGAGGCTCTGACGGGTGCCCTTCCTGGGAAGAAGGGGGCAGCTGAGCAGATGTGTGAGGGAAGAGCATTCCAGACAGAGGGATCAGCAAGGGCAAGATGCCCACCTGCCTGGCGTTTTTCTAGGATTGAGAAGGCTGCCTGAGCGGCTGAGTGAAGTGAGGGAGGGAGAGAGCAAGAGACGAGGTAGATAGGTAGGTCTTTGTAGGCCATGGTTTTTTGGAGTATTTTTTTTCCCCTTTTACTTGGAATGAGAGGGAATACTGACTGTGTGCCAGGTGACATATGAAGCCCCTGGCATAAATGCTTCTTGTAATCCTCAGAGAATGCTATGGGCAGGTTCTGTTCTACTCTGCTTTTTATAGGTGAGAATATCAGAGCACAGAGAGGTTAAGTGATTTGCTGAAATCACACAGCCAATAAATGTGTGGAGGGTTGTCTGATGCTAAAACCCACATTCTAGTGGAGCTAATGTTTTCCCAGCCCTTTTATGGTTTTTCGTGTGAAGCCCTCAAAAACAAACAAACAAACAAACATCAACAAAGCAAGTATTCAGGATTTCTATCTTTAAGAAAACAGAAACTCAGAAGGATCAAGAGACTTGCCAAGAACCAGGATTCAAAATCCAATGTATTGAGGGTGTCTTGGGTGTGATAGAGTCCCTCTGGGGAAAACAATGCTAATGACCTCCTGGGGCCTCAGGTGGCCCCCACCATGAGCCTGCAGGTAATTGGACCTCCAAGCCTAGGCTCCAAGGTGGTGCTCTGGGCCGAGAGCCGTCTGCCGCGACAGACATGGAGCATCAATGAATTGGGCCACATCTGCAGCCAGATGTTTGAAGGCCGGATCCTGGATGTAAAGGGTAACTGGGTTGTCCGTATGGCAGGGAGCTGTGGGCAGCATCGTCCTGGCTTTCTCTGACCACCTCTGACTCTCCCATTCCCTCCCAGGTGGCCGAGGTTACGACCGGGACCACGTGGTGCTGTGGGAACTGGCCAAGGACAGGGCATCCCAGATCTGGACCGTCCATGTCCTCTGAACCTCCTTTCCCCCAGCTCCGGAGGCTTTGCTGGGATGGAATGTTTTTTTAGTTTTGTTGTCGTTGTAACATAAGCTATTTTCTAATATGCTGCTAAGTATCTTTGTCTTTGTGCACCTTGATATTTGGGGTCAGGGATCAGGGTGACGACTGTCCACTGGCATTTTTCCCTACACTCGGGCTGGCATCTCTCCACCATGCAGCGTGGTTTGTTTTCTTGGTTCTTGTTTTGGTGGGCGTGGGGGGTCCGGGTGGTAGGGCTAAGGTGTAAGGCCTGGCTCTGCCACCAGAGGGAGCCTGGGACCAAATTAATTGGTAGGTGTGGTCCTTCCTGCAGTCACCCAAATGATGGGTCCTGAGCCTGTTCCTGAGTGTTGGGGGGTGACGGTTCCAGAGATTCCACCCCCATCCCAAGATGGTCCCATACTCCGAGGACCCCACCCCAGTACGCCTGAGTATTCAGGTCCGGCACTGGGCCATGGAGACACAGACGCGAATCAAGCCTTGAGGTCCCCACCCTCAGGGGACACAGTCACCGATGAGAAGGACACAGGCAAAGAGTGCCCAGAGCAGGACCCTCCTGCCTAGAGGAGGGCCCTCCCCCCAGCAGCTGACGAGCACAGGATGGGGGGAGCTGCTGGCCGGACGGGAAGGTGGGAGAGGAACCTGTTGCAGGGTGCACACGTGTCCAGGGGTGAAGACGTGGCGGTTCAGCATGTGGTGGCACAGTGGGTGGGGCAGGGGAGGGGAGGGGAGCCCCTCTCCCTTTTCCTCCGGCTTTCCCCAGTCTGGAGGTTTGGTCTCAGAGAAGCCAGGACAGGGACAGCTGAGAGGGCAGGACATAGGACAGGAGTGGTCCCTCTGCCTCTAGGTCTGTGGCCACTCTCCTGCCTCTGGTAGAAGTCCTCAGGAAGAGGAGTGACGGTGGGGGCTGTGCTGGGGCTCTGTTCTTCCAGCCCTGCTGGCCCTGGGGGTGGGGGGGACAGGAAGGTAGAAGCCACCTCCTAACCCTCCTCCAGCCCCCAGTGGTCAGAGATGTAAGGACAGCTGGTTTGTGGGCTGGTTTTCTGGGGACCCCAAAATACCGGTGGGTGGGGTTCCTGGAGCTGAGGATCCCCTTCCATCTGTCATTCTGAGGACACCCAAGTGCCCTGGAGGCCGGGGTTATCCAGGGTCTGGGGAGTGGGGTGGCAGAATCTCTGGGACGGTCACTCCCAAACACTCAGGGACAGGGGAAGTAAATTCCACCAAAGGGGACAGTGAGGGTGGAGGTTTCTGGGTCTTGTCGCTGTCAGTGATTCTAGGGAGAGGGCTGTCCGCAGGGGACTCTGTGTGGGCACCAGCCTCGCCTGCCCTGCTGTTAAGGGCGTGGGAAGCTCCTGAGTGTGCACACACAGCGCCGGGCCCCGCGATGCCCAGTGACCACGCGCAGGGCGTCCCACAGACCAGGAGAACTTTATTGAGCCCCAGGCTGCCCTCCACGTCAGGACTTCCCCGGCTTGGCCGCTGCCTGTCAACCTCTACCCCCTGGGATCTCTGTCGTCCACCCGTCCTGAGGGTTGGCGGGAGGCGGGTGTTCTCTGGCTAGTGATGGTGGCAGTGTTTCAGGGGACATAGAGCTAGAGATGACACTGTCACCTCAGCTGAGGTAGAAGAGGTGGATGAGGATGTGGGTCAAGAAGAAAAGGACGCTGCCACCATCCATGCTGCTGAGAGCTGGGGCCCCATCTGTGTCGGTTTTCGCAGTTGTGGTAGTTTTGAGGGTGGTGGCAGCGGGCTTGCCAGTGCCACTGTTCCCGCCACTGCCACTGTTCCCGCCACTGCCAGCGCCAGAGGTCCCGCCAGAGCTGGCGGTCGTGTTCCCCAGGACTCCAGTTTGTATCTGCAAGAAGAGAAGCGGGGGGTACTGGGGGTTTTCAGTTTTTGGTTCATTGGGGATTCAACCCCGGGGGGCACTCTGCCACTGAGCTACATCCCCAGTCCTTTTTATCTCTTTTTATTCTAGACAGGATCTTGCTAAGTTGCTGAGGGTCTCATTAAATTGTTAAGGCTTGAACTTTTGATCCTCCTGCCTCAGCCTCTCAAGTTGGGGGAATGTGCCACGCGCCAGGCTCGGGGACTTTTTTTTTTAATTATTATTATTTTTTTTTAGTTGTACTTAACACAATACCTTTATTTATTTTTTTATTTAGTTACTTATTTATGTGGTCCCGAGGATCGAACCCAGTGCCTCACACATGCAAGGCAAGTGCTCTGCCACTGAGCCACAACCCCAGCCCCCTCAGGGGGCTTTTGAATGTCACCTTTGTTAAGGATGCGTTCTCCCCTGTCCCTGTGCCACAGGTCCTGTTGGGATGTTTGGCTGTTTCCTGCCCCCACCCCCAAACCTCCCTTCACCTCTCCCAGACCACCGGTGCCTCCAGCACAGGGGAGCCCCAGCCCTGGATCCCACTCATCCCACCAGATGCTTATCTTCCCTGAGCCCATGCCCTTGTCTCCTAAATGGGGAAAAGGGTCCATCGCAGTTGGAAGGGTGACATGAGACAGGGCCAAGTGAGAAGGCCCTTGGCAAAGTACGGGTGGGTGAGGGGAGTGGTGGAAAGGCCAGCTGGTGACAGGCTGTCCTTGATGGTTGACAAGACTGCAACTGGAGCCGCTCTTAATGGACCTTAAGCTGTTTTCGATGGTGATCAAGCTGTCCTTGATGGTTGACGAAGCTGTTCTTGATCAAGAACTTGATGGCTCTGTTTCCTATATTGACTGGGCCCCTCTGGGCATGTGGGATGCCACCAAAGCTGCCTTCTGAAATGGCAGCTGATTGGAGACTGAATGGCAGGCTGTTGCCATCTTTGCATTCCTCACCCCCAGGCCTCTCTCCCGCCAGGCAGGACCCCCCTGACGGCAGGAGCAGGGCAGGCTCTACTTAATTCCCTAGCATTGCACAGCACCCCTGGGAGTCCCTGTGCCTGGCGCTTGGTGAGGCTCCCCAGTTGTGAATACAGATTTCAACTCAGAGGCTGCCCTTGAGCTGAGTGACCACAGGCACAAGGGCTGGAAGCTGGGGCAGGCAGGCTCCCCTGGTCCCTGGATCCCAGTTGGAACCTGTCTGTCTGCCTCCACAGAGAAGGCTGGGCTGGTCCCCAGAAGCCCGAGTTCCTCCCTCTCATGGCAAGCAGGTCAGGGAATCTTGAGGGTGGCCCTGGGGGCTTGGAGGGACTTCTCCTACCTGAGTCAGAACCAAGAGGCTTAAGGTGAATAGAAGGAAGAGGAAGCTGTTCATCCTGGGAGGCTCTTGCTGGGCGCTCTAGGTAGCAGCTGTGGGAAATGAGCTCAGAGCTTTTCTGCAGGCCTCTTTCGGCTTGGCTGCTTTTGAACCCTGAGGCAGGAGGTGTGGAGGGGTAAGGAGAGGAAGGAGGGCCTATGGGGTGGGTGGGGAGGGGCTGGGAGCTGCTTCCTTCCTCCAAGTTTAGGGTGGATAAAGCCAAGTTCTAGGTTCCAGGGCCCTGCAGATGGTGAACTATGGATAGGTATGAGCCGCACCCCAGGGGGTGATGGTAGACAGAGCCAGGGGGCAGCAGACAGGGCCACTATCCTGGGGAAAGATTGGGACAGATTTGGGTTCTGAGATGAGGTGGTAGATGTCCTGAAGGTTCTAAACCAAGGCTCGGGGAGCCTGGTTTAGGAAGGGGTGGAAGGATCTTGTGATCATAGTAAAGCACTGGTTTAGCTTTCAGCTGGGCTGGTTTCTTCTAGGGCTTAGGTTCCTCATTTCAAGTGAGAAGACTGAAATGGATCATTTCTGAAGTTTTTTTCAGACCTAGTGTTTTGTGATTTAAATAAACTAGTAGATAAAGTGGGGTTTTTTTTTTGTTTTTTGTTTTTGGCACAGGAATTAAACCCAGGGGTGCTAAACCGCCAAGCCACATCCTCAGTCCTTTTTATGTTTTATTTAGAGACAGGAGGGTCTCGCTGAATTGCTTAGGGCTTCACTAGATTGCTGAGGCTGTTTCTGAATTTGGGATCCTCCTGCTTCAGCCTCCCTAGCTGCTGGGATTACAGGTGTGCACCACCACATCCTGAGTTATTTGTATCAAACTGGGATGGATGGGAGGGGGGCTAGTGGAGGGACTAGCAGGCAGCCCAAGTGCAATGGGCAGAATATGGGTGGGGGACCACGAAGTTAGGTGATGGGACTGTCTCCCACACAGGGTCTGAGGACTTACTGGAGTGAAGGGGGTACTTAGGACCAGCGGGCTCTTGATTTACCCAATGGAAAAGAATTTCAGCTTGTGCCAAAGGCATCGACAGAAGTTTATTTAGGGAAGCAGAGACATGTTCAAGGGAGAATGGGGGCAGTCTCACGTAGATATCCTTGGGGTGAAGGAAGGAATACTTATTCTGGCTACCTCCAGAGGGAGAGACAGGAGCCCATCGGCATGGAGTATTAATATTTATAGAGGGGTGGTTGCTAGGGCTGGACTAAAGGTGGAGCCAGGGTGGAGCTACAGGATTTCAGCCAGTTTTCCCTGGCTTTGTGCACTGCCCTCTTGTTAGCCGAGGGAATGGGTCAAGGGCGTATTGCTCAGGAGGCACAACTGTTCATGGTACTTTTTGTATTTCAATGATTTATGGGTATTTCCTTTGAGGCTCATATCTCCCTTTATTCCCAAATTCCTATCTCAGGATGAATCCTGGAGCTGTTTGGATAGAGCTCCGTGGCATCCATTCTCTCACTTTCTTCTCGGCGATGCAGACTGTAGGTTTTATAATTATTCACCATTGACTAATGAAGAAACTGAGGCTTAGATATTAGGTGACTTGCCCAAGGTCGTAAAGGGTGGAGCCAATCTCATTTGAACCTCAGTCCAGGTCTGTCTGAAGCCACAGCTACCACTGAGCTCTATCCCCAGCTCTTTTCATTTTTAATTTTGAAAAAAGTCTTTTCTAAGTTCCTGAGGCTGACCTTGAACTGGTGATCCTTCTGCCTCAGCCTCCCAAGTTGCTGGGAATACAGGTGTGGGCCAGGGCACCAAGTACCAATTAAGTCTTCATTTCCTGTCTTCCTGCTCCCCAGAACCAGGAATTGTCACTGTGGCCCAGCTCCTGCCTCACCCACCTCCTTGTCTTAGTTGGTGTCTCATTTACATGCCAGATGGGGAAGGGGACTCCCCTACACTTCCCTTTTATGGTCAGGGCCTTGTGTCACAAGCCTACGTAAAACCTGAGTGGGCCATCCAGGGCCTCCAGCTCAAAAGAAAAAAGAAGTGAGAGTCAAGACTCAGGAAAGCGAGGCAGGAAGTGGACAGGGGGGGAGGGAAGTGAGAGGAGCCCCCAGTCACCTATCACTGCCACCCCTCTGCTCCTTCGCTACCTGGGGTGGGGGTGGTGATTCTGGGGGCTCCTGAGAGCCGGGAAGTGACAGGTGAAGGAAGGCACTGGCGCAGGAGACAAAAGGCCCAAGGCTTTTTTTTTTTTTTGATAACTGGGATTGAACCCAGGGACACTTAACCACTAAGCCACATCCCGGTCCTTTTATTTTTTTATTTTGAGGCAGGGTCTTGCTAAATTGCCGAGGCTGGCTTTCAATTTATAATCCTCCTGCCTCAGCCTTCCCAGGTGCCGGGATTAGAGGCCTGCCTGAGGAAGCAGTTGGAGGGCCTGAGCCCTAGGCTGCCCTGTGGTAGTTCCTCCAGGGTAAGGACGCATGTGAGCAGATGCCCATGTCATCTTTATTTATTTATTTTTCTTTCTTTCTTTTTAATTGTTTGGGTGCTAGGAATGGGACCCGGGCCTTCTGCATGCGAAGCAGGTGCTCTGCTACTGAGTCACACCCCAGGCACCCCCCGAGACTCAAATCCAGACTTAAAACATTTTCTTGCAAAGCTCCAAACTTTCCTCTCCACATCCTGAGGTGTGACATTGAGCTGCTGCTGGTGGGGAGACATGAGGGTACTGGCGGGGGTTTGGGGGCTCATTAGGCCTTGGGGCATGAAGGGGCCTCTGGAGTCTGTCCATACCTGAGAAGGGAAGTAGGGGCTTCACCCATCTCCTCTTCTCCCCTCTGAGCAGCTACATTCTGTCTGAACAACATCGGCAATGGATAGTCACCAAATTACAGAGCTCTAAGAAATCCTCATTTTTCAGATGGGAAAACTGAGGGCAAGTTCATGCAGAGTTGGGGCCCAGCCTAGGTCTCCCAGCGCCTGTGCTCCACTGTGCAGCTTCTCCAGACCAGACTGCTGAGAGAAGGGAAGTCCCAATCCACAGTCCCTGACCCTCCTTTGCAGTCAAGACCAAATTCCTCCCCCCAGCCCACACCCGGTTCCCTAACGTCCTCCCCAGCCACAACAGCTCTGCTGGCCCCGACTGCGCCTGCGCTTTTGCACCATGTGTTTCCTCTGCACGGAGAACCCTCCCGTGCACCTGTGCTACCTGTGGGCTCTCCTGTTTCTCTTCAAGATTTGGCTCAGAAGTCCCTGCCCTAGAGGGACTTTCCTCTCCCCTGGGAGACTCCCTCCCGGAGGGAGAGTTGTTCCCAGAGTCCCTCTGCTGACCACTGCTCTAAAGATTGTGTCTGCTGACCACGTGGTCTAGGCCGGCCTTACCACCTCCGCAGCCCCGCGCGGCTTAGAACATGAATAGGTGTGGGGATGAATGCCAGGCGTCCCCTCCTGCCGCCACGACTTGGTGCTGTGTTCATTTGTTCAGCCGATAGTCATTACACCTCTTGGTGCTGTGTTCATTTGTTCAGCCGATAGTCATTACGGGCTCCCAAGAGCCAAGTTACCAATGAAGGAAAGAACAAGGCCCCAGAGAGGTGAGCCTTTC